TCCGGAGTGACTTTTGAGAATCATTGCATACTGTCCAGGTGAGCAAATCAATAACCTAACAAAATTAATTACACAATCAGAACATAATAAGTTTTAACATTTTTCTACTTTCTACTTACCACACCGCCAACCCATTCTGTAGGCTTCAACGGTTCAATGTCGTATAAACTAGCGAATTGATTTCCCATTGAGATTACAGAATATATGTATGAATCATTAGGATTAATATGTTGTCATGAAATATTTAAATATCACTCATAAAGCAATATATTTCACTTACCCCGATTTTAACTCACTATTCCATAAATAATCACAAATTGCAGCTTCGATGTCATCAATTCCGCTTGGAATATCCGCTTTTTCAACCTACAATTTTGCATACAAATTTTTGTCATAACAACATGATAAAGATCAAATTAAGTTTTCTTTTATTCAACTTACCTTATGCTTCTTCTTCTGGGGTATAGGACATTATGAATCCAAATATGCTGCTATAACACTCTCCGGTGTATAAAGGACACCGACTTCCTTCCTCCTCATTTCTTTCATATTTCTTCTTCCATAGCCTCCTCTTTTATTTCACCCAATTGATCTCCTTCATCCAAGTCTTCATCTCTTTTATTTCACCCTTCAATTCTCCTTCACCAAGTATTGATCTCCTTTCCACCACAACCTCCTTCACCACTCCATCAAATTTTTCACCCGTCACCATATTAAGATCACCCCTTAACACCTTAACTTCTTTCACCACTTCACCCCTCAACACCTCTACTTCTTTCACCACTCCATCTATTTTTGCTTTCATTTCCCCCTTATGCCTCTCAAGTGTATCTTCAACTCTCTCAAGTTTCTCTTCGACTCTTGATTGTCTTTGCATGATATCAAATTGGATTTTTTTGATATCTGCCAATTCAGACATCAAAATGTCGAAGTTACTCTGTTTTCCCTCACCGTCATCCCCCTCACTGTCATCCCCCAATACAACCATCTGTTCTTTCTTCTCATCTGCCTCCTCTACTTTCTTGCCAATAACCTTCAAAATTAAATTACAATATTAAGACATTGATTATATTCTTAATATTATTTAATTACATTTATTACCCTTTCTTGCTTCCTCGGACTATCTAACTTCAACTTCGCCATCACTCTAACCACCTCTTCCTTCCCCCATGCACGGATGCGTGCCACTCCGGTTCTTTCATAAGCCGGCACTGCCTCACAGCCCGACCAAAAATCAAACAGTGCAACCTGCATTTATAATAAAATTTATAATTTTATATAATAACTATACTATCATTTTATATAAAAACACAAAAATTCTTCAACTCATTTACCTCTAAGATTGCTATGCACCCTTTGAGGTATCTCTAGCTGCCCTTTTTAAAGGTGATTATTGATTCAATCAATCTTGAATGGACATATTCAGCCCAATTGAATTCACCCTTCAAGCTTTTATCGGAAATGAGCTTCATATAGTCCTTTTTCATTGACGTATCACCCGTTGGACAAAGAAAGATATCGACAAGGTATAATAGAACTCTGGCCTTCAGCTCATCCCCCCGTAAGATCCACTTTTGATTTCCTCTTTAATTTCAGCATATGTCACCTTCTTCTTCAAACCATATTTAGAGGCAAGTGCTTTCCAGTCCTTACTCTTACAAACTTCTACAACACTTTTGCCTTCATTTTCTACCCCCAATACGGCTACAGCACATGGGATCCTGAGAGGAAATGAAAAATCACCATACTTAGCAATACATTGTTTGATATCAAATTGCGCCATCAAGGATCGACACAATTCCCTCTGAATAGGTCGATCCCTTACTCCTACCAACGATCCAAAACCTATTTCTGCCAGTACATTCAACTGACCCTTCTTCTTAAGGTGATTAATTAATGAATTCACCCTTTTAATGATGCACCTTGTCGACACTTCCTACATTTTTTAACAATATATAATGTTATAGTTCTTATATATTTTGTATCAACGTATTTATAAGTTTAATGAATACCTTATTTTCATGTGCTTTCCTCCGTTCTTTGTATTCTTTACTATCATTCCTTGACTGTGTAATGTAAGGTTCCTTTTTCAGCATCACTCATCGAATTCCATTTGGACCTCACATCTTTTGTCACCTAATATTAAGCATAAATGTTTCTTAATCAATACATTAACACTAAATAATACTCAATGTCAATTTGATTTTATATACCGAATCGCTCTGTGTGCCATCTTCCTTCATCCTTTTGCATTCGGCCATACTGTCAACATTTAAAATTTGTAATCAATTTAAAGTTCTTAAATACTTTAATCCAATTACCATTTCAACAATAATAACAAAAATACATTGATACTTACTAGAAGTACATATATCCACCCTTTGGTTGCTTTCGAGTCTCAGCCTCAATTTCAAAGGCATCTGCGCCACCAACAATTTTTCCACCCATTGACTCCATTTTTCCTTCATATATCAGTTTACGCAAATCAAATCAAATACTAGTTACATACACTTTATTCAATATACAAATATAGATAACTACTCTTGTGGTAAAACGATTTTCTTCAAAAGAATTTGAATGGCCACTACAAAATGTGTCGGCACATTTATACAACCTATAATATTTAATAAAAGTATCGACATTTATATTTTACCTTTATTATCACTTTCTACCTGTAATCGGTCCTAAATGCTTCTTTACTCCAAAACCCCAAACAACATATAAAAACCATATTTGTGATTACTATAATAATAAAAAACTAGGGTTTCGACAACATACTTTTTGATTCAACTGCATCAATAAACAAACAAACAAACTTCGCTTTAGAAACGCCTTCTGAAATGCAGCAACAATTACGCTTCGATTTCAAAAACTCGTTCGTTCTATCTATATTCAGAGGATATTTAGCTATGGCCTTTATATTTTCATCGAATATGTTATTTATATTTAATCGATACAACTACCAAAGTGTCAATACTTTTATATCAGCTGTCGATACTTTCGATAGGATAATTACCTATTTCTTTGAAAATATTGATAATTTATTACAAGTACTTATGAAAGTATCGACACTTTCAACATATCCGGTAGCGCTTTACCGGTTTTATCATTTTGATACCGGTTTTATAATATTTTTACATGTTATATCGTTGTGGATCGATATATTTTTATAAAGTATCGACACTTTATAAGCGCTAAAACTGCTTCTCTTTTAAATTCACAAAGTGTCGATACTTATATTAAAGTACCGACACTTTAAATATATCCGGTAGCTCTTTATCGATTTTATCATTTCGATACCGGTTTTGTCATATTTTTACCTGTTATATCATTGTGGATCGATACATTTTTATAAAGTATCGACACTTTATAGGCATTAAAATTGTTTCTCTTTTAAATTCACAAAGTGTCAATCCTTATATTAAAGTATCGACACGTTCAATATATCCGGTAAGGATTTACAGATATTGCCTTTTCGTGACCGGTTTTATCGATATTTTTACCTGTTATATTGATATGAATCGATACATTTTTAATTTGGATCGACACAAACCGACAAGTTAAGTTTGCCGGTTGCCAAATTTTTTAATATTTCTTCATGACTTAGACCTACTACATTATTATTACTCAACATTTCCGGTAGCGCTAAACCAAATTTGTTAAATATCTTTTAATGTATCTGGTAACGCCGTATATTAGTCTTATATTAACCCGCCTTTCCTGAGACATTCCCTTTTCTTCCCCGAGACAACTCTCCTGAATATTATAACCATCAAATGGAATCAAAAGTTAACCGTACTCCGAGGTGGAAAAAATATTAGGGTAAAATATACATTTAGTATTTAAGTTATTACTTTTGTTCTATTTTATACCTAAACTTTAATTTATTTTAAGATCATATCTACCGTTTAGTTTAAGTTTCATTTTGGTATCCGCAGTTAAAAAATTAATAAAATTATTGATGTGATATTTTTTCTTTTTTCAATGATGATATGACATTATCATACGGTGATACATTAACATCATCATTAAATTTTTAATGGCGGAGTATCAAAATGAAACATAAACTAAATGTTAGGTATGCTTTTAAAATAAAATAAAGTTGAAGTATCAAAATAGAACAAAAATAATAGTTTAGATACTAAACATGTAGTTTATCTGAAATATTAATAAAGGTAATTCAAAAAATTGATTGAATACCTCTTCCTTTAGCTTCTCAATCTCCTGGCAACTACCAAAGTGTTGATACTTTTATGTCAGGTGTTGATACTTTCGATAGGATAATTACCTATTTCTTTGAAAGTGTCGATAATTTATTACACGTACTCATGAAAGTATAGACACTTTCAACATATCCGGTAGCGCTTTACCGGTTTTATCATTTTGATACCGGTTTTATAATATTTTTACTTGTTATATCATTTTGGATCGATACATTTTTATAAAGTATCGACACTTTATAAGCGCTAAAACTGCTTTTCTTTTAAATTCACAAAGTGTCGATACTTATATTAAAGTACCGACACTTTAAATATATTCGGTAGCTCTTTACCGGTTTTATCATTTCGATACCGGTTTTGTCATATTTTTACTTGTTATATTATTGTGGATCGATACATTTTTATAAAGTATCGACACTTTATAGGCGTTAAAACTGTTTCTCTTTTAAATTCACAAAGTGTCGATCCTTAGATTAAAGTATCGACACGTTCAATATATCCGGTAAGGATTTACCGGTATTGTCTTTTCGTGACCGGTTTTATCGATATTTTTACATGTTATATTGATATGGATCGATACATTTTTAATTTGGATCGACACAAACCGACAAGTTAAGTTTTTCGGTTTTCAAATTTTTTAATATTTCTTCATGACTTAGACCTACTACATTATTATTACTCAACATTTCCGGTAGCGCTAAACCAAATTTATTAAATATCTTTTAATGTATCCGGTAACGTCGTATATTAGTCGTATATTAACCCGCCTTTCTTGAGACATTCCCTTTTCTTCCCCGAGACAACTCTCCTGAATATTATAACCATCAAATGGAATCAAAAGTTAACCATACTCCGAGGTGGAAAAATATTAGAGTAAAATATACATTTAGTATTTAAGTTATTATTTTATAGCTAAACTTTATTTTATTTTAAGATCATATCTACCGTTTAGTTTAAGTTTTAATTTGGTATCCGCAGTTAAAAAATTAATAAAATTATTGATGTGATATTTTTTCTTTTTTCAATGATGACATGACATTACCATACGGTGATACATTAACATCATCGTTAAATTTTTAATGGCGGAGTGTCAAAATGAAACATAACTAAATGTTAGGTATGCTTTTAAAATAAATAAAGTTGAAGTATCAAAATGGAACAAAAATAATAGTTTAGATACTAAACGTGTAGTTTATCTGAATTATTAATAAAGGTAATTCACAAAATTGATTGAATACCTCTTCCATTAGCTTCTCAATCTACTAGCAACTACCAAAGTGTCGATACTTTTATGTCAGGTGTCGATACTTTCGATAGGATAATTACCTATTTCTTTGAAAGTATCGATAATTTATTACACGTACTTATGAAAGTATCAACACTTTAAATATATTTGGTAGCGCTTTACCGGTTTTATCATTTTGATACCGGTTTTATCATATTTTTACATGTTATATCGTTGTGGATCGATGCATTTTTATAAAGTATCGACACTTTATAAGCGCTAAAACTGCTTCTCTTTTAAATTCACAAAGTGTCGGTACTTATATTAAAGTACCGACACTTTAAATATATCCGGTAGCTCTTTACCGGTTTTATCATTTCATACCGGTTTTATCATATTTTTACCTGTTATATCGTTGTGGATCGATACATTTTTATAAAGTATCGACACTTTATAGGCGTTAAAATTGCTTCTCTTTTAAATTCACAAAGTGTCGATCCTTATATTAAAGTATCGACACATTCAATATATCCGATAAGGATTTACCGGTATTGTCTTTTTGTGACCGGTTTTATCGATATTTTTACCTATTATATTGATATGGATCGATACATTTTTAATTTAGATCGACACAAACCGACAAGTTAAGTTTGTCGGTTGCTAATTTTTTAATATTTCTTCATGACTTAGACCTACTACATTATTATTCCTCAATATTTCCGGTAGCGCTAAACCGAATTTGTTAAATATCTTTTAATGTATCCGGTAACGCCGTATATTAGCCGTATATTAACCCGCATTTCTGAGACATTCCTTTTCCTCCCTTAGACAACTCTCCTGAATATTATAACCATCAATGGAATTAAAAGTTAACTGTACTCCGAGGTGGAAAAATATTAGGGTAAAATATACATTTAGTATTTAAGTTATTACTTTTGTTCTATTTTACCTAAATTTTATTTTATTTTAAGATCATATCTACCGTTTAGTTTAAGTTTCATTTTTGTATCCACAGTTAAAAAATTAATAAAATTATTGATGTGATATTTTTTTCTTTTTTCAATGATGACATGACATTACCATACGGTGATATGTTAACAACATCGTTAAATTTTTAATGGCGGAGTATCAAAATGAAACATAAACTAAATGTTAGGTATGCTTTTAAAATAAAATAAAGTTGAAGTATTAAAATGGAACAAAATAATAGTTTAGATAATAAACGTGTAGTTTATCTGAAATATTAATAAAGGTAATTCACAAAATTGATTGAATACCTCTTCCTTTAGCTTCTCAATCTGTTGGCGAAATAATAGATCCTAAACACACACAAATAGTATTCTGACTATATGATATTATTTATTGAGTCTCTCAATTATTAAAGGTTACAAAATAGTCTCTTAACTATAAGATGTTATTTTGTTGAATCCCTCGACTAATAAAGTTACAAATGGTCATCTGACAATTCATTATGTTCCAAACTCGTCCTTTTCGATAAAAAGTTGACGGCGATTTAAGCTAGAATTTAACCTCCTAACTAAGATATTGTCGACGCCCATTTTCATCCAGAGACCATTATTGTTGTTGTTGTTGTTGTTGTTGTTTGTTGTTGTTGTTGTTGTTGTTGTTGTTGTTGTTGTTATTTTATTTACAAACCAATTTACAAATCGGGCCCAAATTGAAACCCAACCTAACCCTAGCCCTATCACGGTAGCCCTGCTGCACCAGTCCCCTACCACCTCCATTTCCACCAACCACGGTAACCCTACTACACCAGTCCCCTTCCATCGTCATTTCCACTAATTCTGTCGATCACTGTTGTTGCTTCAGCACGCTACCACCAAATCATTTATTTTTTTCACACATGTAACGAGTGTGATAAAACCCCCAAGAAAGAATGTAGAGGGGTTCATGTTTCCCCGAAAAGAGGTTAGCAAGGAATAAAAAATAGAGGTTTTTTAACATTTCGAAGGTATCTTTTTTTTTTCATTTTTGTTTCTATTTTGTGCGTATGTGCATCTGGGTTTTGAAACAAAGAGAGATGAAAGATTAATCGTTTACCTAAGAGGAGGGAGCCTAAGGGGATATCTCTTCGGTGTTCTCCATGTCCGTTAGGGATCTCTCCATCTTAGAGGTTTGAGAGATTAAAGGGATGTGAGCGTCGTTTGGGGGGTCATCAGAGCTAGAAACTGAAATGTTGAAGGGAATTTATTGGGTCTTTAGAGGCTCATTTTTAGGTTTTAACCCCATATCTAAGTTTTAGAGAGTGAAACAAAGGTTATAGGATACTTTGGGTTGGTTTAGGAGTTTTGATTGTCGTGTGTGGTGATTGAAACGACAGCTGAAATGGTGGTTGGAGTAGTGGTGAGGTGGCCGGCAATGGTCGGCTGAATGAAGAAAAAAGAAGGGAGAGAGTTTTAGAAGAAAAAAATTTAAGTTTCGGTTGAAATGAAAACAAAGAGAAAATATGTTTTATAGGAAAACTTTAGGGTAAAATCACGATTAGATCCCCTAAGTTAGCCATGTTTTTGTATGTTGGTCACCTGTAAGGACCGAAGTTGCTATTTACCCATTTTTATGAATGATATATATTTTTGGGATATTTGTTGTTTAGTCCCTCATAGTTTAGTGTGTTTTTACATGTTGGTCACATTTAGGGACCGAAATTTTTATTTACCCGTTTTTATGCCTGTAATGCTTTTTTGGAATATTTTCTGTTTAGTCCCCCTTATTTAGGCATGTTTTTACATTTTGGTAATTTGTAGTGATTATTTAATTTATTTTAATATTTATAGACTGATTTAGTTATTTAAGAATTTTTCTTTAAAACCATGTTTTATGCTTGAAAAAAGAAATAATCATTAAATAGACCCTGTAGTTTTAACATGTTTTATATTTTGGTCTCCGTTCTTTTTTAATTTAATTCAACCATGCAATTTATTTTATTTTAATTTGGACCCCATGTATTATTTATTTTTATTCATAACAATTTTGGCACTTAATGTTAAAAATACTCATTTTGGTCACTTTTGCATTTTATTTTATTTTAATTTTTGACATGATGATTTATTTGTTTACATTCTAGTCCTATTTGCATTTTTTTTATTTTAATTTTTGCATGTTCTTTTATGTTATTTTTTTAGTAAATAATTAGTTATGTTCTTATTTTAAATTAATTTGCATGATACCCTCATAAGCATTTCTTGACTCGAATCAAAATAATTTGACTAAGGGTAATATTGCTTCATTTTAAGATTGTCGTAAAGTGACTATCTTAACGTATAAGAAAGGTAAATTTTGATAATTTTAAAACGAAAGTTTATCCCATTAAGTGACACGAATTAAATTGATTCTTTTTTAAAATTTGGGGATTGAGAAAAAGATCATGTTCTTTTAATTAAGTTCATTGAGAAAAGATTGTTAGATCGAATCTAAGGTCTCGTCTCGATGTATTTAAATTAAACATCCTTATTCTCGTTAAAGGTTGGTAAAATAAATAATTAATTGTACTTGCTTGATGTGCTTTTAATCTGTTTTATTTTTGTATGTATTTTCAATAGGATTTCAAAAATAAGTAATACTCGAATTAATATTTAATTTTAGGACGCAATAGTAATCTCTTCATTTCGATTGGAGTAATAAATGATTGTTTTAAGGCATGAGAGGTTATTCTCGATTGGAAATAATTAGATATCAACATTTTCTCTCAAATTAATATCAAATTTTAGAAGGAAATAAAAATATTTCTTTATTTTGATTGGTGTAAAAATGACTGCTTTGAGGCATGAGAGGTTGTTTCTCTTCGATAGAAGATAATTAAATATTTCCTTTTTCCTCCTAAAATTCAAGAGTGTCATATTGTTATCTTAAATTTATTTTTATTTGTGCATTTTAACTTGGAATTAATAATGAGTTCGGGAATAGAATTGTAATATTCCTTTACTTCGATTGGGGTAAGAATCAACTGCTTTAAGGCATGAGAGGTCGATTCTTCTAGATAGAAAATAATTAAATATTATTTTATTTCGTCCTAAAATTCAAAGAATATTACTTGAATGGGATCTTAAATTAAACTAGACTCGAATTCTTAATTTCCATTGCAAATATAACTAATTAATCGATTATCTGTCAACTTACAGCGCTGTGGGGGTGCTAATCCTTCCCACGCGTAACTGACTCATGAATTCAACTTTTTGGTAACACATACCACAATTTTTTTGTTTTAATTAAAATCATATTTTTTTAAAATGAAAAATACATTTTTGGGTGCCCAATCACACCTTAATCAAAGATTGGTGACGACTTCTAAAATCATGTTTATTAATAACGGGTCACTAAATTATTCAAGACGAGATTTTTAAAAATTACTTTTCAAAAACAAATTTGTATGTTTTTTTAAAAAATAGTTTCGACAGCTTGGTGACTCCACTGTGAACTTATTTTAGACAGTCGGGCATTAGTCGATTAATTAATTGTCTTCGCAATGAGAATTCTGAATTTGTTTTAATTTTTTATATCCAGTATTTAGTTTAAAAAATATGTTTAATTTGATTGATCACTAAATAGTTTATACTGCTTTGTTTGTTGATTTTTTCAGATTAAATAAATGTTCAAGATTTTGAGAATTATGTTTTGCATTGTTTGTTTTGTTTTCGCTTTTCATCACACACTGTACAACTGCATTTGCATAACATGAGCTAAAACCCCACTTCGTTCTATTTAAGTAGGAGTGAGAAACTACTCCCTCGTGTGGTTTTCACTACTCCCTCGTGTGTTTTCACCTCTGTACGATAGTGGATCACTCCTAGGGCTCACGCCTTATGGTCTCTATGATAGTTTTCACATCCTTGGAGATAAAGAGGTGTGTATCCTCGAATTGAACTCGATCCAAAGCCTATATGGGTCAGAATTGAAGGCCTGGCAGCCCAAGGGGAACCGACAAGGACAATTTGAGAACCTTTTACTTTAGAGTCAAACCCATCATATAGTGAACTTAGAACCCAGATAAAGCCTTACCCAAACCCTAAAAATCCCTTGAGGAGAGTACACAAGGAAAACCTTTTTGAGGCTTTTAATTTTGTAGTGTAATTTTAATTTCTAAATAAATGTATGCAAACTAGAGATAATATGGTTAGGTTTAGTTTTTTTTTCCCGAATAAGCATCTAGGTAGAAATCATGTTTGGGTAGGATATACTAAAGCATGATTTGGTAGCCATAATGTGGGGTAGGTTTTATTAACAAATTGCATTATGTTCGATTAATTTCATTATGATTATTGACTAATTTTTTTGGCCTTTTGTTTCCATTTTTTGTATTGCACTATTCATTCCATGACGTTGATCCGTGACTGATGTCCATATAGAACGCTAGTAATACGGAACGAAGAATTCAAAAAGAGGTAGAAGATAATGTAGATGTTCTGAGATGGTCCGAGCAGTCTCATCTAACAAATTGAGATTACTTACAATATAGATACATGTCAAATCTGATTGGGTACACACACATCAATGTACATTAAAAAGACGTGAGCGAGTTGAAAGAAATCTAGGGAAAATGGGAAGCATCCGATAAGCAGTTGCTTTATCAACTCTATGGTGACATCTCTTATCTCTTAGATGTTCTGATTGACCAAAATTTGTTTAGGGTTCTTGCACAGTTCTATAATCCCATTTACAGTTGCTTTACTTTTGGTCGAGTGGATATGACACCTACCATAGAGTAGTACCATCCCTTGATTTGTTGTCCGAGATTTCAAGTAGACAAAGTGTACACTAAGCTGCCAAATACTCCTTTCATCAATAAAATGCTTTTGATGACCGACATGAGTGAAGAATGGGTCGTAAAAGGCATCAAGAAGAAGGGAGATAGTGAGTGCATTACGTGGATCACTCCGAGAGAAGTAATTTATCGTCATCCCGAAAAGAGAAAGAACATGGACCTCTTTACTATGGGTATTTATAGGCTAGTTATATTCTCGAAGGTTCTGAGGCATGTTGATGTATCAGTGGTTGATTTGTTCAAAAGATTGGACATACATGTGGATCCCGTTCCAACTATTTTGGCAGAGACATTATGTTCCTTAAATTCTTGCAGACGAGAAGGAGAATGATGCTTCATAGAGTGCGCACCATTGTTACTAGTTTTGGATCCTCAATCACTTCAAACACGTCGAGAGGGAACCTGGTATAGTGTTTCTAGAAGTATTTTCACCTTTGAAGGATTTTCTTTCTAAAGAATGAACTGGGTTTTCACTGAAGAGAAATTGATGGTCATTTTCAAAGATATCTGAGACACTGATATATTATGGTGCACTTCATG